TGATAGAGGAACTTAAAGGGAAAAGATACTATTGTGGTCATGCCAGTGGCCAATTTAAAGAAGCTGAGAAACACTACCACACCACATACAAAGAAGCCCTCGCCGTAAAGATGGGGATTCAAAAGTTTGACTTCCACCTAAGAGGCTATCAATTTGAAGTCCATATGGATAACTCCTCTTTCCCTAAGATCCTTGAATTCAAAAATAAGATGCCTCCTGATCCTCAAACTCTTAGGCTCAAAGATTGGTTTTCCAGATATGATTTCTCGGTAAAACATATCAAGGGAACCCAAAATGTAATCCCAGACCTACTCTCCAGGCCCATGAAACCCATCCAAATCATCACCGCCAAGCACACTTTCCCTCTAATTCTTATGGTCAAACCACTACCAACCCATGCATCCAAAACAAAGAATCTTCCTCCAGGAATAACGACATCCTCTTCACCGTCACAACTCAAGCAGTATGCCAGGAACAATCTTTTATATTACATGACAAAGATCATAAGGAACAAATTACCAGACCACAGTCCTTATTTCCCAGATACACCTTTTCTCCTGCCAATTTTAATAAACCCAAATGCTAAATTCACAAAGAACCATTTGTGGTATATTTGGTGTGCCACTTGTTTGTACTACATGCCTGTTCTTATTCCCACTGAGGCCATGTATCAGCATATAATGGATCCCGAGAAGCACAAGTCTTTGATTTGGACCACTCTTGAATGGTATTCTCCATTGCAATGGTGGAGAGATCAATTAAAACCAGTCATAGATGAGGTCAGAGAAAGAAGATTATCTGCAGAAGATATTGGAAAGCTCAAGTCTGTTTTCTTTCTACACAGGCCCTATCTGACAGATCCTGTAACTAAGTTGCTCAATTATAAGAGTTATGTTCACCTATGGGAAACCATTGATGAATATCCTCCCAGTCTAAAAGTCACAAGGCAATTACTGGAATATGTTAACTACATTAATCTCTATGATCCAAAGAAACTTGATGAAAGTTCAACTTGCATACATCATGAAAAGTTCATAAGACAGGAAGTTGGAGAATGCTCGACTCAAGCCACACAACAAAAACCAGATTCTCCGATGGAGGCTGAATTCTCTGAAGGACAAGTGAAAGAGGCTAATATGAGACTAGCAGATCACACCTACATGATGGAAGATAGCTGGCAGTGTGAGTCATCTCGCTATGAAGATTGTCTTTCTGACGGAAATTTATCTGATCAGAATATGTCCCCCTCTCATGAACCAATTTGCAAAGACTAAATGGACAAGTGTCCTTCAAAAATGGACAAGTGTCCTTCAAAAATAAACAAGTGTCCTTCAAAGATCACAAGCATGTTTATGAATAGTAAATTTTGTCTTTTTGTGTAATAATGTAATCCATAAGTGATAAGTGTGTCGGACTTTCAAAAAAGGCATTCATATAGTATTAAAAATGCCATGCTTGTAAATAGTGTTGCTTTTGTCTTATATGTACCTCCTTGGCTATAAAAGGAGGGTCTTTGTAACATATTATCATCAAGCAATCACAAATAAACTCTCTCGTGTGCTTAAGAACAAACATGTTCTAAAAATCTCTTCTTTCTCCCTCAAAGCTTTAGTTATTGTATTCATATCATAGTTCCCCCATAGATGCAAGTATGCTCTACACCTGGCTCTAAATGAGGATCTTGTGTATCAGAAAACATCTGACCATTGATCCATACTACGGTCCTTGCTGTTATGAATTTCAGTTTTAATTGTTAGTCCATGTTATGCCTATGGTTGGCTATTTGAGGACGATACAGTTAAGGCTGGGTTTCATGGCATGTAAGGCTCCCGGACAGTGTGGTATCAGAGCCTAACCGAAAAGAAGGGGTGCATATGGTATGAATATAATAAAGAGAGTGAGTAAGGGAGAAATCACTTAAACATGGAAACACCTGAACCAAACACTCTACCTATTACTACTACGTCTTCTTTATCACTTCCTAAACTCTGTAAAAAGACTAGCTCTCATAAAATAGAAAACCTTATTGAGTACTCTCATGTTTCTGAAGATGCTCAAATTTGAAAAACGAGAACAATTAATCTAACAATTAATTTTTGATCCATTGAAATTATTTGAATAGATTAATTTTTTTTTCTGGTACTCTTTCTTTGTAACTTATTTAGTCATTAATTCAAGTTATATTTTAAAAAAATATATATGAGAATATTTGTTTAGATTAATATATAATAATTATTGATCTGGCCTGATCAGAAGGGGATCACTAGCTGGCCACGCTCTGTTGGACTGCTGCCTGTTCACCGGTGATGAGGAGGAGGAAGGAGTGTACCTGCAAGACACTCCGATGGCAAAGTAAGTATATGGGCAGAATGACCGCAAGTACAGAAAAAGTGGTAAGAAGTGAATTACCTGACCCTCTTGTGAAAGAGGGTATTTATAGAGAGACCCCAACGCTGGGCCAACGGTCACTTGTGTTGGGCTGGATTGTCAGGCCCAACCCAGGTGACTGCTAGGGCTTACGTGGCGTAGTGAAGACCAGGACGTGGTCTTCGCCCTAGTCCAATTGTCCCATGATCTCCGGAAAGTGGGTTTGACTTGCTCTTTCGGATGTGGGCAGTTGGTCGGTGACGTGTCCCCGCAGAGGGGGGCACGTGGAGAACGTGTGAAAGACACGTTGTTCTGCCCGACAAGGAGAAGGTCCTGTCCGCGGAGGGGGAGAAGGTCCTGCCCGCGGAGGGTAAGGTCTTGCCCGTGGAGGGGGAGAAGGTCCTGCCCGCGGAGGGGGAGAAGGTCTTGCTCGCGGAGGGTAAGGTCCTACCCGCGGAGGGTAAGGTCCTGCCCACGGAGGGGGAGAAGTCCTGCCCGCGGAGGGTGAGGTCCTGCCCACAGAGGGGGAGAAGGTCCTTCCCGTAGAAGGGTAAGGTCCTGCCCGCGGAGGGTAAGGTTTTGCCTGACGGGGGTAGTGTCTGGCCGACAGAGGGAAGGTTCTGCCCGACGGGGGCAGTGTCTGGTCGACGGGCAGTGTCTGGTCGACGAGAGTCTTGTGCTCGACACAAATGAGGATGACTCCTTTGGACCTTCTCCCAAGTGTATGTGGGCTGGGCCTTCCCGGTCAGGCCAGGGCCCAAGCCAGAACAATTATTATTCTGGAGTGGGTTCAGACCTACCTATCTGTCGGAGAGATCCAACTTAATATTGTATGAAAAAGATTTAACAAGACTCAAATCTTCTAATATCAAATATAGAATTAAATATGCCGAGAGAAGTCTTTCCTATCGGACAAACGACTTTCATCCGTGAAGTTTTTCTATTTTATAGTTAAGATATAAAGTTTTATCATCATTATATACAAAACAATTAATATTTTAATTGAAACGGTTAATATAACTTAATATTAATTCGAAAAAAAGAATATTTTCTACTACTATACATCGTAGTATTTAAACAAAAATTAATACAATTTTATATTAATCGAAATCATTAATATAATTATATAATTATTCGTCTTCGTCACTCTCCGCCTCGATCACAGCCTCTCTCACGAGCCGTCAGCTTCCCAGCACATCACTCAGTCAGCTTCTCAGCCGTAGACATCAAACCGGCGGCCAGCCCTCCATCTACACAACTCTGTCGAGTGAGTCATCTTCTTCTCACTCTAATGTTCCTTGCGCTTTGTGAATTTTTGTGTATTTTAAATTAAACTATCATCACTTAGATTTCGATTGTTTGATTATAGGATTTCGTATTAATTTGATCACGATCTTATGCTAACAATTTCGATTTTGAAAAGATTGTAATCATGTTCTCACAATTCAATTTCATGGCAGAGGCTCAAAGAGGGTTTTATTTCAACTCTTGAAAGTTAGGTTTTTTTTCATTCTGGAAATCTTAACCATGAATAGATGAACTGCTATTCATGCTTCATTTGCTACAACTCTATCTAAATCGCCAAAAAATCTTTCCTTTTTGTCCAAGTTTTGTTTCTTTAAACCCTCTATATGTAAGATTTAGAGTTTAAAGTTTAGGGTTTAGGCTCAACCCTAAACCGTTCATACTTCATTTGCAACAACTCTATCTAAAACGCTAAAAAATCTTTTCTTTTAGTCCAAATGTTGTTCCTTTAAACCCGATATATGTAAGATTTAGGGTTTCGAGCCTAAGCTCTAACTAATCATGCTTCATTTGCTACAACCCTATCTAAAATGTTTTAAACAATCTATCCTTTGGTACAAGTATTGATTCTTTAACCCTAAACTATTCATGATTCATCTGGTCTCACAGAAGGTGTTAGATAGAATCTCCAACCATACATCATCATGATTATTGACCACAGATACCGAACATTATAAGCTCCTACCGAAATTATTCCCTTCACCATTCTTATGGACTAGCTTGAATCACCCTTAGATTTAATATGAGTCAACAGAGTTGCAAAAGCAAAATTGATTTGAGTATTTGAAGTGTAGATTGAAGCTGCTGAGATTTGCCTAATTATGACGGTTATACCAAATCTGTTATATGCTTTGACCTTGCTAAATAATAGGATCTTAAAACTACTTAGGTCAAATATGTAATAATATTCACATACGTATGTATGATATAACCAAAGTTAGAACCATCATAATTAGGCAAATCTCAGCAACTTCAATCTATACTTTTCAGATTCATCTAAGAGACCACATATCTAAATGATTCCGATTAGTTTATTAGAAAAAAAAAAATCAGAAACGAAAAAATTTAGGAAGAAATATATAGAGTAACCTAAACCATGGTAGTCTCTATATATGCAAAGGGCAAAAATTGAATTTGGATTGAATTTTAGCTCTGTTTTGCAACTCCCATTTTTTTGATGAAATGCATGAAGATTGAATTTCATCTAAAACTAAAAAAGAAAAATAACACAATTTAACACTTCGTTATTTTTAATTTAATGATGCAGATCTTGAAGTTGAGATGCATCTTTGATCTTTTAACGGTTTTTGATTGGAAGATTTTTTGCTATGGCAACGGCAACATATCCACCACCACCACCTTATTACAGGCTTTACAAAAATTACTTGCAAGACCCTGAGTCTGCTCCAGAGCCTCCACCACCAATTGAAGGAGCTTACATTTGTTTCGGAGGCAGTTACACTGTGAGATTTTTTTATTAATGTGGTTTTTATGTTATTATGGCCCTTATTACTATCTAGACAAATATTTATTCGAGACGATATTGCTAAGATAATCCCTACTATTACAATTAATTACACTTGAATATACTTATTTGAGAAGGCACTTATGTATAATGATAAGTTAGCTTTAATTAATGTATAATTTATTGGGAAATTAGTATTTATTTATACCTGCTTTATCTTTGGCATGTGCATAACCACGAGCTCAGAGCTTTTTGCCATCTAATGAAAGCCCAAAAGAGCTTTTATTTGCTTCGAAAGTTGTTTGAATAAATAGGACAGCTTGGCTGCGTTTGTATTGACTTATGAACAACCTCTTTTGAGCTTATATTCCCGAGTGTTTGGGTGGTCTTAAAGAAACAACTGATGAATATCCATAAACAATTTTGACTTTTATGCCAATTTTGATAAGCTCTCTAGAATAACTCAAGCTTATGAAAACAACTTGGCAAACAATTTGACTAAAATTTTTTGATTGTACAAATAACTTATGCATAGTAAGTGCTTATTTAATAACCTTATACCCTATAAGTAATTAAGATGTTTATCCAAATGGGTCTGGTGCTAGAGAAAGCTCTCGTCGTCAGGGTTATGGGAATGGTTAAATATGTGAATGTCCATAAACCTATGAAATATGAATGTCCATTAACTATTTTAATTTTTTAAGCCAATTCCCATTAGCTCTCTAGAATAGCTTATAGCTTATGAAAACAACCTATAGGAAAACAATTTGACTATATTTTGTTTGATTGTACAAATAACTTATGCACCGATCCCACTTAGTGTGATAAGGATTGGTTGTTGTTGTACAGATAATTTATACATAAGTGCTTATTGATAACCCTTTACCCTATAATAGTTAAGATGTTTATCCAAACGGGTTTGGTGCTAGAGAAAGCTCTCATCATCAGGGTTATGGGAATGGTTAAATCCATGAAGTAGAGTTCACAGCTCAAATGTCTGTTTGGTGCTAGGCATTTATATGGCAGCAGCTCCAATTATTTTGTTAAAGTTTTCCTTTCAAAAGCTGTTTCAGTATCGTCATCTAAACATGATTCTGTTTACTATCTAGTTGTTTGGTATACCATTTTTTAGGGCTATGATTGGATGCCATCTACGAAGCCCAAACACTTAAAAAATTGAAAAGCATCTTATCCGACATGGTATCATTAAATAGGGTAATGTAGTTAAGATTTGCCCATATTCTGGACCGCCAAAACTGGATTTGTTGTTGTTTATATTCCAGATCAGATTGTGTTCAGCCATGTAAAACAGGGTTTCTTCCTATTAGTTTGAGATGCAATTTTCTGAAAGTATCTATTTATGTCTGTTTGAGATTTTATGCAGAAACCTCTTTGGCATGATCATAGTGTTAATATGTTGTTTATTTATTTATTTTGACGTAGACTAGTGATGTTCTACCAAGCTTGGAAGAACAGGGTGTGCGTCAACTCTATTCCAAGGGACCTAATATTGGTATGCTATCTTCAACTTTTTTTATGCTAAGTTTAATTTCAAGATTTTGTAAAGCGACCAGCCATATGAGTTGTTACAGATAGTTTGGGTTTTTATGTTATGTATTTCACTCTTATCCTTTGTAGTGTTGTTTTATAGCGGCACTATAACATAGTAGAATTTGAACAAATCACTATTGTTCAATGATAAGCTAGTAAAAAGTGTTGTCAAATAGCTGCTATAGCGGCACTTTGCCGTTGTAGCTTACTGAAATCTGAATAACTTCTGTTTTCCGCGATCCACGATTGACAATAAAAATCCTTCGTCGGTTTGTTGACTTGGGGGGCGAGGTCTTTGGGATGTCCCCAGTCACAATCTTTTTACTTTTTTTTGTCAACATAAATGCTTCTTTTGATTAACCTCCTTCAATTTATGTTTCACATTTTTCATTTAGTGACTTTTGGTAAAATAAACAGTGTAACCTCTAATGTTATTGTATAGTCTAGACGCGTGGGTTTGATCTTTCTAGGCATTATTAACTAGATAGTTCTCTGAGTGAGAAAATACTGAATTAGTCACAACATGGCGTCTCTACTAGATAAAATATTACCTCCTTATAGTTAACATCTTACCTTCCATAGATTTCAAGAAGGAGCTGAGGTCACTTAATGGAGAACTTCAACTACACATTTTGGAGCTTGCTGATATTCTTATTGAGAGACCATCACAATATGCAAGGAGAGTTGAAGAAATTTCAACCGTGTTCAAAAATTTACACCACCTTTTAAATTCCCTGCGTCCTCACCAGGTAAACAATATTCTAGACAACTATAATTATATACACTTGCTTTTGATTTGGATGCTTCTGGTCCTTTTCCCTTTTCTGAAGTTTTCATTATATTGTGTATTTATTTTATAGGCTAGAGCAACTTTGATTCACATTTTGGAACTTCAAATAGAGCGCCGTAAACAAGCAGTGGAGGACATAAAAAGGTATGCACATTTCCTGTTGTTTTTCTTAATGTCCTTGTCTATGATTTTAGAACCTTTTACAATTTTTGTTGGTATGCTTGCAACCTTCATGGATTTCTAAATTCACGAGTCAGTTCATTCTTTCTGGTTGTACCCACTGCTCCAATACCCACCCAAGGCTAGTGTAGGGTTCTTTGAATGAGCAACGTCAAAAAGGAAGTTTATTCGTCCCTGTTAGCTAGGTTGTCGATAGCGCGCTATAGCGTAGCAGTACGGGACCTCGGCGCCATGCTTTTGGGCTGCTAACCGCTATCCGTTATAGCGGAAATAGCGTGTGCTATTTGTGATGTCGTGGCGGTGCAATAGCAGCACTATAGTGGTTCTGTAGCGGTTTACCAACTGCTATTGTGAAGATGAGGGTGATATTATGTTTGAATTTTTTTTTCAAGGCAAATTGGTATTTTTCCCTTTTATTTGACTAATATAAAAGCTACATTGTTTAACCTGCCATTAGTCTAAATTGTGAGATTTGTATAGTTCACCCAATTTGATAGGGGCAATGATTTTGTCCCTTGTTTAACCTGCTTTTCTTTTCTTTTTAGGAGAAGAGAAGAAGCTCGAAGGCTCCTTAATGAGTCATTGGCAACACTCGATGGCCATTAAAGCATCGCGTATCTTGTATCATTGTGCAACCCTTAAACTGTCATACCAAGCGTCCGAAAGATTACAACCCTTAAAGTTATAGGGGAGGCTGTATTACATTGTGTCCTAGAAATTATAACTATTTATGGATGACCTTTTTGGATTGTTCTTTAAATTGTGTGAAAATTGTTACTCTGATACATTTAGGACACCATAGTTATGTGCTCAATTTCTCTTTTAAGTCAACAAATTGAGTTTGAAAAAACAAAACAGAATTCATATTGAGCATATAGTAGTAGTTAGCATTGATAGCTAGATCCCAAATCTTTAGTTTTACACTAACAAGGAAATGTAAGAGCGCACAAAAATCCCGGCTCCACGAAATTATGATCTTCTACTATATCGGTAGTCCCTTGAATTGTCTCATATTCTGACTAACAATTGTTCTCTACACAATCTGCCATCACCATCTAATCTAGCTGATCACTTTCCCATGTTAGCTTTGAGGCAACTCTTTCATGCTGTGGGAAATATTCCTACAAGAGCGCGAATCCAAAACCGGTGAGACATTCAGATCATAATTTGAACTTTTGGTTCGACCGATTTAAAAAATATTAGATGACAAATTACCTCCATGTTTTTGACAAGTTCTTTTGGTGTTGGGGCAGATACAATTATATGACGAGCTGTGGGGCTAATGAATCCTTCCTCCACAGCTTTGTCAATGAAAGACAAAAAAGAATTGTAGTATCCATCAACATTTAGCAAACCCACCTTCAAAAACAAACAAAAAATTCAAAATTTTAAGCATATTTTTATATCATAAAAGTAAAAGAGATATTTTTAAATATAATAACATGTGTAGAATTTAAATCTTTACTGGTTTATCATGGATGCCAAGTTGTGCCCATGTTATCACCTCAAGAAGCTCCTCAAGTGTACCATAGCCACCTTCATGCACATAAATAACATTTTTTAAAAATAAAAAAATATATCACTACAAGTAGGCAAAATGGTTTAATATTGTATCAAAGTTTAAATTTTATTTTACATAATTTTTCCAAAATTATTATATAATAATATATGAATACATTTATTCTGACACTGTTATGAAATTATTCCTAAGACAAATATGTTGAGACCCCCTAGATAATGGGAAGAAGACAAAAAAACACATTTATTCTTAAGATTTGAATATATATTTTTTATTCATTTTAATAAAAAAAATTATAGAGTATGAAATATGAAGTCTTTTGTTTTTGTGGCTAAGCTCAGGAAGGATTTGATCAAGAGTTAGAAAGCTGCCAATATTATGGGCCCCTGTCTCTTTGGGCCTGTGTGGATAAGCCACTTGCAATGTCCATGTCAGTTAGTATGACAAAAAATAATAATTTTTGCCCATGTTCAAGATGTAATTTTATTTAAGTTATCATTGTGAAAAATACAATTAAAAATTACAAAAATAAACAATTAAAAATATGTTATAAATATCAATTTGTTTACAAATACATTATAAAAATACCGTTAGAAATTGAACCTTAAATTAAATGATTATACTAAATTAAAAATGTATATTATATTTTTTAAAACGAATAGTTGTTAATGTATAAATATAATCTATGTACCAACAACTTAGATTCATTTAACTCAATTAAGTTTATAATATAAACTCATGATTAAAGTAGACTTTTTTGATAAATATAATCCTCTTGTGAGTTTATAACATATTTTCAATAATTTATAGTATTTTTTGACTTGTAACTTCATATATAATTTTAGCTTATAATTTATAATATATTGTTTTACTCTTATTTCCACCTTTATTATCATAAACTAAAAAAAGTAAATTAAATAAATATTTATTTAAAAAAGTTTGTTTATGTCCTCATTTATCAATTACTTAAATTAATAATTTTATTAAATAATTTAAATTTAATTTTCTATTTTATCCACACTATCTTTTTACCAAACATAATCTAAAAATGATCTTTAGAAAAGTATATATACATATGTAATTTTCAAAATTAGTTGATGCTGAAAAAGTCCAAACCATACACCTAAATCCATGTGAGTGCAATTAAAATTTGAATGGATCTAATCTCATGTACACTTTTGTCTTTTTTCCACATATGACTTATCTAATTTTTAGTATTATTTTTGACCTTTTTAAATTAATATCTGATCTTAGAATGTTTGTCATGTGATAATCAAAGTAAGTTTAAAAATTCTTTTTGGACATTGTATGGTCTTTTCATCAAAGACTAGACTATACCCCACCTATGGTAGAACTTTTTATTCTTTCTTTTCATTAATTTTTATTTTATTTTAGTTTAAAGGAAATTTGCAACACTTTCGCAAATTCCAAATCAAATTTAAGTGCACTCCAACAAAAAAAAGCATTTAAACATTTTTTTACAAAATAAAATAAGATACCTTAAACTCCTAAAATACCAATTATCATTTTGAAATATTTTCTTGATTTATTTTTTCTATAATATACCATGAAAATTTACCAACACATATTTTAACGCATTCATACAGTCATAACATCGATGATTACAGATTTAAAATGAACAGTTAAAAATCAAACACGACATTTTGAACTATTAAACTAAAATTATTATAATTTTAAAACGGTATTAACTTGAGATGAATAACGCTATCCATGTGAGAAATATTGGAGCTAGAAAGCAGAGTGTCCTAACCAGGTAAAGCAATGAAGGCATCAGAATTTCTAGCCATTTCAGCTTTCCTTTGATGCATGTCTGCTACTGCTTTCACTTCTCCCACTGTTTCTCCAGTAAGCTGCACCATATTACAATAGTAAAGTTATTAACAACTTTTATATCTGCGACTCCGGTATTATTTCTGTGTGAAATGATCAAATGTAACAGTTATTTCGAAGACTCAGACGTTTCTGTGTGAAATAATCAAATACGACAGATATTACGAGATTAGAGAGTATGGTAAGATATTTGTTTGGTTTGGAAACAAACAAGAAAAGGGATAATGGCAATGAGAATATGAAGAGTGTAAGATAGAACATGGAGAGAATGACAAAATAGTTCAGAAGGATAAAAAACCCTAGTTTGACAAGTGTATATATTGATGGATAAGTTTGTAAATTAGCACTCAATGCAAAATCATGCAACCACAAGTTGCATTTTTTTTAATCACACACAAATATACAAGTTGAAACTTATATATTAATTAAGATAACAAAAGAATGGTCGAAATTGACTTAAAAATTAATAAGCTAACCCTAGTATAGTCATTTTTCAAATATATTTTTTGAAATAAAAATTGATAAAATGCTTCCAGAATAAGTTAACATTACCTCTCTTGGCATAAGTGTTTTGGGAATCACACTGAAAATAAAAATAAAAACAAAAGTTAGTCGAAAAAAATACATGCAATGCATGCTCTAAACCGCAGTAAATTCGACAATATTATAGTAAAACCGTGATTTTGACAAATTTACTGTCAATTTAAACATGCACAACATATCAACTCACCCGATTACATGTCGACCGCCATCGTAAACAGCTTGAGAAATCAACCCCATCAAACCAATGCTGCCTCCTCCATAAACTAAATCTATATTTCTTGAAACCTTATAACATACCAAAATACAAAAATCTCAAAAGTCATATTGATATAGATGTAAGTATTTATATAGAATAAGGACTAAAGTATAGTAATTTACCAATTCTCTTCCAAGTTCAATAGCAGCATCTTTATAGCTAGTTTTATTACCAGGACTGCTACCACAAAACACACAAACTCTCTTAAACTTTGATAACTCCATCTCCATATCTCTCTCCATTATCTCTCTCTCTCTGAAAAATGGATGAGTGGTTGATGGTGTTGTATATAATATAAGCACGGTTATATTGGTATATATAACGGCAAAAGGAACACGTATTCACCACCACCACATCATTAAACATGACAATGACATGTCCATAGGGAACCAAAGAAAAACTTGATCCAATGTCTTATGTTTTTGTGTGTTTTCTACTTTAATTACTATGGTATTGGTCCCCCTCTATCACCATTCATTCAAAAAATTATAAATCTAAACTCAATACAATCCGTGGTCCTATGTCAAGATTATTATGCTCTTTTTTAATTTCAATCACTAGTTTAACATGTCACTTCAATTTCTGTTTAAGAATTTCGGGTCGCGTCTAATTCAATTATACAAAATTTACAAATTTCAAGATAAAGATTGTTGGAGTTAAGACTAAACTCCTCTAACAATGCATAAGAGAAAGAAGATGATAAACAGTTGTAGTTGCAGAGAGAGAACTGCGTAACTAACTTTTAAGTCTCAAATTTAGAATCGGTTACAAATTGTAACTAACTTTCAAGTGTCAATTCAGAATTTGTTACAATTTATAACTAACTTTCAAGTTTTAAATTTAGAATTCGTTACAAATTGTAACTAACTTTAAGTTTTATACAATAATCTAAATTCAAATGCGCACTAAATATGACAGAAATTCAACAACCTTGAATTTGAATTACATTACAACAAGAGTTGTGTCTAACTTAATACCGAACATTTAGAATTTGACACGAGTTATAGATTTTATATAATACTTTAAACTATCTTAAAATTTCAGTTGAATTTAATTTAAGATATAAAATTAGTATCATATTAAGACAGTTCAACGGGTAGTTGTGCAAAAATATCAAACCTGCATTCTAAAGATTAATCTCTTAATGCTCTCGTGATCTATCAATAGTTAGCTTTATACTTTTATGACTAAAGATTAAGATTCGTTTAATTTAATTCTTGACAACACACTTTGGAACACACTGTATGTAATGAGCTCGTGAATGAAACCCTATCTCACAGTCCATGGTTCATGTTATTACTTAGAGATCAAAAACATTGTTGAATCATAGGTATCTTTCATCCTAGTTGACTTGTTCTTACACCAACTCAGCCTCTCTATTTCTCTCTCTACCACCTGACACTGTTCATGATAATTCTGAAAAATCATGATGATATAAGACATTCAAACTTTAATCGCAGACACATGCTAGTGCATTTGCCATTACATATCTTGTACCATCCATTATGGTGTCTGAGATGATATGTAAGTTTACTTTTAATACACATGTTTTTAATTTTAACTTAAATCAATACTGTCTAATTTTTTGAAATTAAATGAGAGCTTTAATGTTAATTGCGATTTTCTTTTCAATCCAGAGATTAATCTATACGGAGATTAGTTGTCAATTACGGTCCTTTCCAGATAAAGAGATTAGTCTTTTCCGTTAAGATTGGTAAATTGGGTTCGATCCGCTGGACATTACCCGTTTTAATTGCATTTTTTTAAAACTGGATCAAGATTTTAGACACTTACTCTGTAATATGTATGTCTCGTTTTTTGCGAGTTTTGCAGTGCGAGCATTAATAATAATTTATGCAACTTTTAGCCTTAAGGGATGCAACACTCGCCCCACTTTCATTTTTTGTAGGACAGACCAAAGTTTTAGGTTCGTACTATGAATTATGTTTGTTCTACTCCACCCTATTGTTGAGCTTTTGTTTGACAGATTTAAACATAGCAGAAATGTTCGTTTGTCATCTCTTTTTACAATAATGTCAACCATTGTAATTCTCTTTTTGAAAATTAATTTATGTAATTACGCTGCACACTAAAGTCTTTTTCAACTTTAGTGATTAGCGTCTATATAATTATTCTTAATTGATTAGTCTTTACGACTATGCAGATTATTGTAGTCCTCTAAAATAAATAAAAGATTAGTCTTTACAATAAAATGCAAAAAAATACATATGTACAAATTTGATTAACCATTTATAAATTCAAAGATGAATTTCAAAATATTATGTTAATGTAGGAGACTAGCTAGGTTAATCAAATTGACTATAGTTTGAAGTTTGAAGGATTTTGATGAATTGATTCATCCGTGCAATGATAGATGTTTGAGCAGAGTTTAAAGAGAAGACAAATAGCGAATGAGTACTTTTACTGCCACCAATATTACTTTATCACCTCCCTCTACAAAAACATAGATAACCATGAAAATCATTCACTCTCAACCATTCTTTTGAATAAAAATACCATAAACTCTAAAATTCATATTCTTCTAAACCAATGAGAACTCGACGCATTCAAAAACCATAACAATTTGGTTTAGCTATTTTTAGAATCACAAACTCAACTTTGATGTTACTCTTTTGTCTCCCTCAAACTATAGCCAAAACTTTTGACTCTTTTAATCAATTAACAACTAGTTATTACATATCATCAATTTCACTTTCTTTATTCTTTTGTTGCTGAAAGCATTGCACTTTTGTTTTTATTAAATAAATATGTCCATTAAAAGATACATATGTAGGGTTCTAATATAATAATATTGCCCTAAGCTTGTTAACTTCACTTTAATTTTCATTAACTTCATTAAAAGGTTTAATACCTTTTTAACCTCGTTTATTAAACTCGGTATTCAGTTTGATCCATTAAGGTTTATACTGATTCTTTAATTTTAAAAAACGCATTAAGTTATTTTTTTTTGGTCTAATTAATGATAAATTTAGCGATCGATTTCTGAGTTTTTCGTTATTAATTAGACGAAAAGAATTAACATGATATATATTAAAGAGTTAAGGGACTGATATGAACATTTTTAAGTTAAAAAACCAAAAGAAACCCTAAATTTAACATACGAGAAAAAAAAATCAAACCTAATTAAATTAAGCAATATGATCAAAGTTAATTAATCAGCAGATTAATGATTATAATCATTATAGTCAAATAAGGATTGCTTGGTTATATTTTACATTATCTATGTTAAGATTATATTATATAGTATTATTTAAAAAGAATTAAAAAATATCTTGGCCAATGAATGATTAAGTTTTTGTGCACCAAAATGGTGGAATCCTACTCAGATAAGTTAATAATCTACCCTTTATACTTGAGTGGTGATTTTTGCATACTACTTTTTTATTCTCTCTTTATTAGCCTCTCATATTTCATCTAGTCACATTTTTTTCTGACCAATTTTGGCCACCATTAAATTATTAATTTGGCCACCATTTAATTATAGCACTAGAATATGGACACATGTAATTGAAGTTAGTTTTTGCTCAGAATGATCATGTCATATTTTTATTTTTATTTTTTAATTCTAACAAGAATTATTGGACATATAGATAAGTGATGCATATGATTGGTGATGCAAATTGAAGTCTTCAATTGGTCACATTCATAATAAGAGCATAAAAGTGTGTCCAAGAGCTTCCTTTTCGGATAAGGTAGTAAGAAACACATCTCTTTCATCTATTGTCTAATCCCTTTTTTTCAATGCACTTAATTCTAAATTCCATCACTTTCTTTCTTAATGAGCCAATTTAAAAGCTAAATCATGGAACTATTAGATGCTTAAGTATGCCTAACTTGTTAACAATTCAACTTTTGGGGTTTTACTTAAGGAGTATGGTGAAAATTTTAATGGTTGATTTTTCAATCTAACTTTTGTAACTTGCATCTTATTCCCTCAACTAGTTTTGCTAATTGGAATATTCTTGTAGGAATTGGAATCACTACATTAAAGAATAAAACAGTGAAGATTCTCACATTTAACGCGGACAATACCTCTTAGTTACACTGACGAGGTTGTGGTCATGAGTTCGATTATCACAGACAGCGCCACTATTCTGTTTGGAAATAAAAAATGTTGAAAAATTGATTAATTGGATTCTGAGTGCGGTGGTACAAGTATCCAATGTGGCGGTGCGGGGATGAACCTACAAAGTTAGCATTCCAACTCACTGGAACTATATCTGATTGAAAAGGGTAAATTCATAGTTTGTTGCAGAGGTCCAGAGCTTCTGGTGCAGTGGATAAGGGCTTGACCAACAAGGCTAGCACTCTAATACTTAAGTCAGTAAGAGAGTTAAAAATGAAGTTTAAGTGAAAAATAATTGGAATACATGTGAAGTGGCGCACTTTTCTATTTAAATAAGGGAGATTGTTAATAACTGCGTACGTGTGGGATATCGTGAGATGCGATTAGCCGTTGGATTGATCTACACACTTAACATGACGCTCTCGTGAGAGGTTACCTACAACACAAAGGTTATACCTATTACGCGTTTAGTAGCTTGCTACTTCATAATTTGACCTTTGTCTTCTAGGCCTCGCGAACAGCCTGAAACAGTAGACTCCAAAGGGCGAGAGTTTCTGACGCACATTATTACACGACCATAAGATTTGTGGGTGTGGATGTCCTAGATGGGACATTATTGTTTCTTTGGAATAGGCACATTAAATGCCTCTATTAGATGGTGTAACATGACGCTGGGACAAACTAACATACCCTTACTCGTCAGCTAGAAATGATGTTTCTCCCTCTTTAGAGCACTAGATAAGTCCTTATCTAGGGAAAAAGTTTCTAACACACATTATTACCCGACCACATAATCCGTGGGCGTGGAAGTCCTAGAAGGGACATGGTCGTTTCTCAGTAATAGGTGCATTAAATGTCTCTCTTGGAAGTCGTAACACGACGTTGAGATGAGCCGACACACCCTTATTATGCAATATCCTATATACATGTAAATACTCTATTCGTTTTCAGTTGAGACCAAATGAGTTCCTATATGCTCTATTTCTATTCAGTTGGGACAAATAGAGTAATTACTCAACTTATATGAACTTAATTCTTATTCATTTAATTGACCTTTGTTAATTTTTAAAAGAAATTAACCTTTTGGTAACATTAATGAATGATTAATTACCTTATAGGAGAAATATCTCTTTATAAGATATTTTCTTATATTTT